CAACCCCCCTGCTCAAGCAGGAGGCCCTAGTATTTGAGATAAGTAGCTGTCCAGTCTCTTCTTAAAGATCTCCAGTGATGGAGAACCCACGACTTCGGAAGGCAAGCTGTTGATTGTTCTCACCGTTGCTGGGAAGTTTCTCCTTAATTCCAGGTTGCTTCTCTCCTTGGTTAGTTTTCATCCGTCAAGGAGAGAAGCAACCTGGAATTAAAAATGGTGGGGTCATCCCAAACTGGGGATGCATTTTTCCCACCCATCCCTGTCCCCAGACTCCTGGTCAAAGGACCCAAGGCTGTGGGTTTATTAGCCAGGAAGATCGGTGCCCGGGATCCATACCTTTGCACCTAATCAAGAGGCAGAGCCCATCCTACATTAGTAGATCAGAGGATCAATCGATCCTGCTAAGGGGGGGAATGGGATCCGCTTTTGGATTAGGTCCATCCATGCACCCTTAGCAGGATCCCTGGTTTTGTATTAAACCTTGGTTTGCTTTAATTTAACTAAGTGGGATTCACGAAACAGGTAGGCATAAACCCGTGGTTTACAAGAGTGGGTGGCTTTGCTCATTAGCATGATTAGATGTCATAGCCCTGTTCGTTGTCCTTAACTTATGACTATTTGTTTTGCAACTGCTTGAAGTTACAGTGGCACAGGAAAAAGAGTCTTAAAATTGGTCTTCCATTGTTAATGACCATCACAGCATCCTTACGGTCATGTGATCAAAATTCAGATGCTTGGCAACCGATGGGTATTTATGACAGTTGCAGCATCCCAGGGTGCTGCAAAATAGCTAGCCAATTTTGGATAAGCAAAGTCAGGGCAGATTCGCTTAACAACCAGGGCAAAAACAAAAAAATAATTCCTAAAATCCTGTGTGACTCACTTAACAAGCACCTGGCTTAGCAATGGAAATCCTTTTTCCAATTGTGGTCCTAAGTCAAAGATTACCTGTATTGTGGTTTGGCTAGGTTTGACCTGAACCTTGCTTATCCCAACATCCCAGGGGTTTCAGCCGGATCAGCAAAGTGCACCAGAGAGCTAGTATCTAGCAAATACATAAAAAGGCAGGCCTTTGTTGTTCTTAAGCCCCAACATTAAGTTTCCTTATCCAATTGGTTCTGTCAGTTATTTATCTTTGTTTAGAATAAATAATGGTAGGAGGAGAGAGATACAGCTTTAAAAAAAACAAAAAACATTGTCTTTGCTTTAACGCAGCTCAATCTTTTATGTGTCTCTGTAGAAAAGGATCTGGTTGCCAAGAAACCATGTCCCAGTGGAATTTTATCTTTTTGTCCCCCGAGTCTTTCAACATCTTTTTTTTTTTTTTTTGGTCTTTAGTTCTGGAGAGGAATTTTCTTTCTCTTCTTTTTTCTTCCTTCCTCTTGTTTCTCTTTTGCCATCCAAGGGGTGAGTGTGGGTGGGAGGGTTCTCTCCTTTGGGAATAATTGCTCTGGGCTGGGGGGAAAGAATGCTTTTTTTCTTTTAAGAACAAGAGAGATTTGGTACAAATCGCAGTGGATTTTTTTTTTCCCCCACAGCATTTTTGGGGCATTCACGAAAATGGCCAGTTCGTGGGCATTGCTCACTGATGGAAATCTTATATTGTAAAAGTAAAAAAATAACTGGTGGATTATTTTACAACCACACAGCAAATATGTGGAGTGGCAGGTTTGGAATGTGTTATCGAAACTTCAAGACGGCTATTTTCGATGTGGTAAAATGAATTGTGCCTGAAATACAGGGCAAAGTGAAAAGTTCTTTCTGTATTAGGTGCTTCCCAGAAAAGAGTACCTTTGAACTTTCAAACCCATGCTGAAGCTTTCCCAAAGGATTGGCCTTGTTTTGGAATACATAATATGGATTTAAATTAGACAATTATATCACGAACATAATGTTAATTGTCAACAAAACAATCTATCAACACCTAGCATGTTTTTCTTGTCAGGACTCAGTACAGATACAGATGAATGGGAAAGCAGAATAGTGTTTGAGGTTCCCGTTTTATGGATAAGAAGTGTCTTCTCCAATGCTTCATGCCTTTAAAACCAAAGGCATTATGTTTTGATCAACTGATTTTGCTTTCTTTAATACAAATATTGTTCCATTTGATAATTTAAAATGTGGAGTATTTTGATTAGAAGTCCTCCCTCTGCATGCAACTGATCCATTTCAAAATGCCCATATTATTGTACATATAATGTTATTTCCTCCACATTGAATAACTGCATTAAACCCACAAGGAAAGGGAAACAAGGATAAAAACAACGAGTTTCGAGATGGGATATGTTTAATCAACTCAGCTATAAAGCTATAAAGCTCCAGAGAGGGTGTGTGATGTAAATAAATAAATATATATAATTAATTCAAACGACGAAAGTTTCAAAGGTCAGGCAGATACCTTGGATATGTCCAACTAATTCCGCAAAAGGAATGTGAATGAGTCAGTGAGATTTTCTTCCTTTACTTTTGTCCTCTTTGTGTTTGTGTGTGTGTGTGTGTGTGAGAGAGAGAGAGACAGAGAGATGATTCTCCTGTGCTTTTGAAAAGCAACTCATCACCCAGAAGAGAAATAAAAAGGAAAGATGTCTCTGAGATAGAGTTAAAGAAAGGCAAAAACTACAAACATCCCTTATTTTAAATTACTTATTTTTTTAAATCACTTAATTTTTGAAGGGCACAGTTTTTTAAACATGCTGCTGTGTTTTAATACTTCCTGCATCTGGTTGGATGGTAGCACCTAAGTAGCACCGATAGTCTATTATGGAAAAGTGGCACATAAATAAAACAGAAAGAAATTGGATTAAAGATAAAGACATGCTATCAAGTGTTTCTCAGATATGGCAACTTTAAAGAAGGTAGACTTAAACTCCTAGAATTCCCCAGCCAGCTATGATGCTGGCTAGGGAATTCTGGGAATTGAAGTCCACATGTTGCCAAGTTTGAGAAATGTTGTACTATAACTTTATCAATACTTTATTGCTTTTTAAAATTTAAAATCCTTATAACAGTGTAAAGATCAAATCATAGAGTTGGAAGGAATCATAGAACGCATTTACTCCAACCCTTATCAGAAGTTCTCAATGTGGTCCGTATGCTCCCCCCCAGGAGGCCATATTATATTTTTAAGGGGTCACGGGGAGCCAGCCAAACTTAACAGGATAGATTTTACAATAAATACCCTTAACAGTGACTAAGACTGGGTGGGTGACTTCCAGAAGTAAAAAATGCTCCGAAGGGGGCCGTGAGCCATAAAAAGTTTCAGAACAGCTGTATTAGAGCACAATGTGATAGTCTTATATATAAAATCTATATATAACAATCACATTCTTCAGAGCAACAACTCAGAATGCAAATTGTAACACCCCACACAGAGGTATAGAAACACCCAGGTGTGCACACAGATATATTTCAAGCACTGTGGATAAATAATAATCTTGGTTTAGCCTCCAATTCCAGATAATCTTCCGCCAATCATGCATTCAGGAATTTCTAGCCAATCCTGATTTTCTGCAAGGCACAATCTGAACAACTCACAAATCAGACATCATTGGCTTCCCATAACTTTCACCCAATTTTTCCTGTTTTATTCATTGGGGGGAGGGATATTTGCATGCTGCCAGGCACAGCACTTGAATTTCATCTTGATTTCCCAAAATACCTCTGCAGCCTATGTGGGGCTTTAAGAGCATTGTTAGAAAATAAAAATAATTTGACTGCACAGTATGAGTATGCACATCATGTGCCCAGGGGGAAAAAATACATGTGAAGGTGCCAAAGAATATCCAGGTATTGTATAATGTTTATTCAATGCGCGTAAGTGTAACGCTTTGATCATTCTGTTGAATGAAGGCGTATTAGATACGTTCACCGCCTTGACTTATTTATAAAAATAATAAAGATAGGATTAAAAATATCTGAAAATAAAAATGCAATACGCAATAAATATAATAAAAATGATGCCCTTTGCCCTTTTTCTATTGAACCATTAGCATCTTAAGCTTTCCCCCAAACTTTTTGTCTTTTTTCATCCCCAAATCCTGAAACTGTCAATTTCATAACCACATTTTCGCATGATGGCGTCACTGCGGGCATGTCATTCTTCTGACATCATAGCAGTTCCTGCAGATGCCAGGGCTGTGATTCATAAGGAAAGCTGTGTTCACACCCATTAGCTTTTTTAAAAATAACCTCTCCAGATCCATGTTTTTCAAGCTTGGCAAGTTTAAGATCCATGGGCTTCACCTCCCAGAATTCCACGCATGCTGGCTGGGGAATTCTGGGAGTTGAAATCCATAGCATCTTAGAAGTTACCAAGCTTGAAAACACTGTTCTCAGTTAAAGTGTGCAGAGGTGCACAGCACTTTACTCACACTGACCTCTTCTGGTCAAGTTAGCCCTGCGGATGGCCATGGAGGTGTGCTTAGCCACGCCTCCCGACCAGGTAAGGATGTGTTCAGTTTCCAATGCTTCTGAAATTGAGATGCTCTCCACTTCCTAGGCTACACCTCTAATCTTTTTTAAGATACCACATTTTTCCCCCCCCACACACACAGACACACAAACACATGCACGCCAGCTGCTTTTTCATTGTTCATCTTTAACACACAATATTATTCCATTGTTTTACAACTCCTGTGTTTTCCTTTCCCCCCCCAAAAAAAACAACAACAAGAAGAAAATCTCCTTTACACAGATCAGGATTTATTGAGGTCAAGAGAAAAGCTCTATTTAGAATCATGCGCGTACGTTCAGCCCTGCATCCAACTGACGGGGTTCACACAACAAGTTAAAACGCGCAACCCGCTTTGCAAAAATCACTGCCTTTGGCAAGGCTGGATCAGCGCGCGCACGCGCAGACAACTGAAACGCGGCGCGCTCTTCTCCCTCCCTTTCTTCTGGACGGCCACGCCTCCTCTCGGGCTGCGCGCGCCTTCCGGGGGCGGGGCGGGCGACCGATCGGGCCCCGCCTCCAGCCCCTCCTCCTTTAGAGGCCTGTCAAGATGGCGGCTGGCAGTAGCGAGGAGGAGGACGAGGAGCTGGTGAGCGTCGGGACCCCGCTGGAGCTGCTGGAGGAAGGTCAGTCCGCGTAGCCCGTCCCCTTCCTTCCCTCTGGGCCTCTCCTTGTTAGGTAGGGGGGGCTGTCTCCCTCCCGGTGCCCTTCGTGGGGTCTCTCTGAGCTTGGTTGGGGTTTTTTGTTTGCAGACGTTTCATTACCCGACTAGGTGACATCATCAGTGCTAGAAGGAAGGGGCGCTTGCAGGAAGGAGGAGGAGGACTGGGGGGGTCTTTGATGCTCTCTAAGGCTGGTTGTATTTTTGCAGACGTCTCATTACCCAACTAGGTGACATCATCAGTGCTAGAAGGAAGGGGGCTTGCAGCGAGGAGGAGGAGGACTGGGGGGTCTTTGATGCTCTCTAAGGCTGGTTGTATTTTTGCAGACGTTTCATTACCCAACTAGGTGACATCATCAGTGCTAGAAGGAAGGGGCGCTTGCAGGAAGGAGGAGGAGGACTGGGGGGGTCCTTGGGGTCTCTCTGAGCTTGTTTGTATTTTTGCAGACGTTTCATTACCCAACTAGGTAACATCATCAGTGCTAGAAGAAGGGGGGCTTGCAGCAAGGAGGAGGAGGACTGGGGGGGGGGTCCTTGATGCTCTCTAAGGCTGGTTGTATTTTTGCAGATGCCTCATTACCCAACTAGGTAACATCATCAGTGCTAGAAGAGAGGGAGGTTGTGGAGGAGGAGAAGGAGAAAGATGGAGGAGGAGAAAAAGGGTGGTGGTGGAGGAAGAGGATGACGACTGTGGGGTCCTTGGTGCTTTCTGAACTTGGTTGTATTTTTGCAGACGTTTCATTACCCGACTAGGTAATATCATCAGTGCCAGAGGGAGTGGGGTTTGCTCCACCTTTCTAGGCAGCAGTTTGCCCTACCAGTGTTGGAGAAGTGTGATCTTCTCCTTGGTCGTTCCTTGATTATTAGGCTATTGCTTACTGCTTTATTGTTTGTCTATTCTATTGGCACCTATGCCTCCTTTTGGGGCCGCAGCTCCCAACCTCCACAGCGGCCGGCCCACAGGCAGTCTCCCTCTTCTCTGCTGCCTGGGACAAGGAGTTGTAGTGTGGGGCAATTGGAGGACCCCCAGGTTGGGGAAAGTCTGCTGCAGGGGACGCTCCAGATGGCCTGGAAGCTCTTTGCAGACTGGAGGCAGTTTGGTGTAGTGGTGAAAGTGTCGTCTTAGAAACTAGGAAATGGTGAGTTCTAGTTCCATCTTAGACGTGAAAGCTGTTCTAACATTCAACTGCATTCAACTTCCTTCCTTCCTTCCTTCCTTCCTTCCTTCCTTCCTTCCTTCCTTCCTTCCTTCCTTCCTTCCTTCCTTCCTTCCAGGTGAGCGCATTAAGAAGCCGGTTCCTCTCCAAGACCAGACAGTCAAAGATGAGAAGGGGCGGTATAAACGATTTCATGGAGCATTCAGTGGTGGTTTTTCAGCTGGCTACTTTAACACTGTTGGATCCAAAGAAGGTTAGTAATGATCTATGTCTGAAAACTTATTTTGTTCCTCTTGGCATAAAACTGGGCTGAGTTGGGTTATTTTTTAAAAATGTGTCCAAGATGGTAAAATCTTGGTCAGTTTTACACGCTGTGTGAAGTTACACGGCTCAATGTGTACTGTGACTCCAATGTGGCTTCTAAATGATCGTAAAAGTGCTGAATCAGGAGAATGCATCTTATTTATGTAATTTAATAATAGTTTAAACTGCATAGACTAGACTGTCAAACAGTATAGAGACTGCTGTAGATAAAACCCCACATAGTGCTGATTCATAATGCAGCACTTTCATTTTGAACTTTGCACGCTGTGTGAGCTTGTGTACACTTTGCAAGCCAGTCATTGTAGCTTGTCAGTGCTATTTATTTGGGATCCCAGCTCACTGGCATGTTCAGGAAATGTGATGAAAACAAGTTAGCCTCTTAGTGCAATGCTTGACCTAGCAAAAGGAACAAGAGGATCAAATAAAGACTTTTAAAAATTAAAGTAATAACAGCGTATCGTCCTAAGCTAAGAAAAATCAAATGCAAAATCACTTGTCATGCAATTAGTACAATGCTACACAAAAGTCCACTCAAAAGTAATTCAGTAGTCAGTGAAAGAAGTCCGGAGTGAGTAGGTATAGCAATTGTAGTTTCAATTGGAAATTTAATCTTTCTCAGTTCTGCTATAAACTCGCATCTTATAGCCAAGCATTTGTCTTTTAAGGATGGGCACCGACAGCTTTTGTATCCTCTCGCCAAAAGAGAACAGAACAGAAAGTTCTTGGGCCAGAAGATTTTATGGATGAAGAGGTATGATGATGCAGATTATTGCATTTATATAATTCCAGATATCTATGTATATTGATGCTATATGTATGGTAAATAGATATATAAATATAGTTATATGTATTGCTGCACGCTACCAGAACCACTTCTGTGAGATGGGCAACCATAGAAATGTGATAAATAAATATAAGCCTGGTGTTTTGTACGTAATCTCTTACGGCACGATTAATAGACAGTATAGCTTTGTTTAGATAAAGAACAGTGATTTTTCTACAAAAAAAAAGTGCATCTCTGGCTGTTTTGTTTCAAAGTTACTTTTGAATTTGTGGACTTGGAAAGAAAATATTCTGATTCCGCCACTCCCCCCCCCAATCTTATTTTCCCTGAAAGGATCTTAGTGAACATGGGATTGCACCAAAGGAAATTACAATTACAGATGCATTTGCTTCCCAAAGCAAAGACAAAATCCAGGAGAAGGCCAGACAGCTAGCAGGAATAGCTGCACCCATCCCTGGAGCTACAGTATTGGATGAATTCATTATACCTGCGAAGTAAGTGTACTGAAAAATAATAAAGTAACACCTGCTACTTTGGAGCATTGCTTATGTTTTATTTCTGATTTTTGGCACACCCGAAGGACTGTTTGACTCCTTTTTACCAGAAGTAAACAGGCAGGATTTCTTTTTTCCTCCATAAACAAGTCTTCCTGATGCTAAATCTAGGACTTTTGTAGAATTCATTCATTTATTTGATTTATATAACTGCCCAGCTCACTTTGACCTGACTCTAGGCGGCTTTAGACAACCGAATCAAATATGTAAAATGTATAATGTGAAAAAGCACATAAAAATAAAACGCATAGCAGCTGGCGTCATCTAATCCAGCATATCTCAACCCGAGCAAATTTAAGACAGACAAATGTCAACTCCTAGAATTCCTCCACATAGCCAGAGGACGGGCTCTGCCCAGTGCACAGGTTCAGACACAACACTAAATTTTGAAGGCCTTACAAAAGGCCAACAGAAACGAGACCTCTCAAATCTCAGGAGGGTGAGTCTGTGTTTAGTTTGTGTTTCCACTGTTGTCTGAATACATTGTTTATAGAAGTATTTTAGTTGAGTACAGATAAACATCAAAGCATCGTGGGCTGTTCCCTGACACCACTGGATGACATCGCCAGGGCCCGTTGCCTTGGTAGAGTGAGGAAAATTCTCAGGGATGACTCATACCCTGGTTGGTACCTCTTTACTCTCCTACCATCAGGTAGGAGATATAGAAATATAGCCAGGCATACCAACAGGCTGAAGATCAGCTTCTATCCATGGGCTGTCATGGATAGCCGGGACATAATTTTATGCATGATAGACTCGTGAAGCCGGTGTGCTGTGCAATTAGCTCACAGGGTGTAATAAGTTGGTGGGTTTGTAGTCACTGTGAGTTGGGGGGGGCACGGAGGGAGGCTCAGCCAATCTCATTGTATACATGTTATACTTTGATAATAAAGGTCCGTTCGTTCATTCAAATAATCCTCAACTTGCAACAGTTCACTTAGTAAGTGTTCAAAGTTGCAACGGCCCTGAAAAAAGGAACTTATAACAACAACAACAACAACAACAACAACAACAACAACAACAACATAATAATAATAATAATAATAATAATAATAATAATAATAATAATAATAATAATAATAATAATAATAATAATAATAAAAAGTTGGAAGGGACCTTGGAGGTCATCTAGTCCAACCCCCTGCTCAGGCAGGAAACCCTATACCATTTCAGACAAATGGCTGTCCAGTCTCTTCTTAAAAACTTACAGTGTTGGAGCATTCACCGCTTCTGGAGGCAGGTTGTTCCACTGGTTAATTGTTCTAACTGTCAGGAAGTTTCTCCTTAATTCTAGGTTGCTTCTCTCCTTGACTTATGACCACGTTTCACACTTATGACCATTGCAGCATTCCCCCATGCTCACGTGATCAACGTTCAGACGCTTGGCAACTGGTTCCTAATTTTGGACTCAGTTACGGTCGTTAAGTCAAGGGCCACCTGTAGTTATAACTTCTTTATCCGTTATTTCCCCCCCCAGAATAACAATTGGGATTGACTTGTTGCGGAAAATGGGCTGGAAAGAAGGACAAGGCGTTGGGCCTCGGGTAAAGAGGAAGCCGCGGAAGCAAAAACCTGGTACATGCCTCTGAATCTCTTGTTTTGCAGCAAGATCAGAATAAAATGAATTATCTAGTTCAGGTAATTATGTCCCTGCTTGATCAGGCCTTTGTGCCTCTCTTTGAAGCACAAACAAGCAAAGAGCCAGTTGTATTTTCCCATTTTGTCCCAATTAGGAAAACACCGTTATTTTGGCATAAGTCAGAATGTCGAATCGTGGTTTGCAATTATGTAACATTGTGACTTGTTTCAAAACAGATAAATATTGTTTCCTGGTTTGGGCCAATTGTGAAATTAGGGTTACTAAAAAGTTCCCTAATCTCTTTGCTTCTGCTATAAGGGGAGAAGCACAATAATGCAAAATGCTTGTTCCTGTCTTCACATTTAAGATATGGCTGCCTAAATACATAGTTTTGATGCATCTATTCCAATTTTTTGTATAACTGATCAGTAGTCTGCTGTTGTACAATTTGTTACTCATATACTGCAGTAATTTAAGTGACTTTGAATTTAGTGGGATCGTAGCAGCACGACCTGTTTCTTACTTGAATGAAAGAAATGAAAAAAAATCCAGCATTTTAATCGTGATTATCACTGTTTGGTTTGCAGAGCCCGGAGTAAAGATATATGGCTGCGCTTTGCCTCCAGGATCCGAAGAGTCAGAGGTAATTGTAAGGCATTTGTTGTAAATTTTAACACTTTTTTTTTAAATGGAATTGGAATTATTCAATAAATACCAACTGTTTGCGGCTATAATAATGAATATTACAATGATTCTTTTATCTTAATGCCTTGCAATTTTCAATAAGTGGAGAAACATTGGCCCTTGTCTTGTACTGTCTTTTCTGCGAAGGCATCGGTAACATCACGAAAGCCTTTAATATAAATGATTCTGTGCCCTGGACAATTTTCATGTACATTATTTACATGCAGACAATGACTCTATAAATAAAGTGGCGAGGCATAAAAAATAGTTCTTGTTTATTAATTGCTGTTGATAGTGACAATGGGAAATACGACAGGGATGAAAAAATAATTTTGGGACCAATACCTACATTTACAACAATAACAACAAAATAACCTTCAGTGAGAAACGGATTACAGTCTGGTCAGTTTCAGGCAGCAGTTGGCAGAAGTTCTGGTCACAGGGCTGAGCTTATTAAGGCATCTAGCACTTTGTAGGGAAGCACTGAGTTAGCAAAACAGCTCAGAAAGAGATGGCTTGTTTAGGCAGTCTATCTACCCTACAAGGAGCCAAAAAACAGGAAGAAAAACATTGGGTCAGGCACAGGACACTGTGGGAGAGAACATTATTGGGATGAGATGTCAGCAACCAGCAATTCCACTGTGACACGATTTTATTGGAACCAATCACAGTCACTAATCAAGGACTAGCTGTAAAATACTGCTTTGCGGAGGAAGCAGAAAAAGTAGAATAAAACTCTCTGATCTTTTCTCTTTTAATTGTTGTTTTGTTAGAATCTGAAACAACGTAAAATAGAATAGAATAGAAATAGGATAGGATAGGAGGGACCTTGGAGGATAGGAGTTGGAAGGGACCTTGGAGGTCTTCTAGTCCAGCCTCCTGCTCCTGCTCAACCAGGAGAATCTATACCATCTCAGACAAGTGACTGTCTAGCCTCTTCTTAAAAACCTCCAGTGATGGAATGCCCACGATTTCTGGAGGCAAGCAGTTCCACTGGTTAATTGTCCTCACTGTTAGGAAGTTTCTCCTTAATTCCAGGTTGCTTCGCTCTCTGATCAGTTTCCAACCATTGTTTCTCGTCCTTCCCTCTGGTGCTTTGGTGAACAACGTGACCCCCCTCTTTCTAGGACATAACAAAGTCCATGGATTGCTGCTCCTTAGAATTATCAACACGCACCGCTTCAAAGAATTGCCAGTGGGGAAGAAACGGGCTTAAAATTTTGCCAACTTACCACTTCATTCTAAATAACATATATTTATTTCATAAAGGAAGAAGAGGATGAATATCAGCCGGAAAATGTGACCTTTGCTCCCAAAGACGTGATGCCGGTAGATCTGACTCCAAAAGAAAACGTCCACGGACTGGGTTACAAAGGGCTGGATCCTAGCAAAGCTTTATTTGGCACTTCAGAGGAATCTTTAAATGTTTTTAGCCTCGGTTCTGAAGACTTAAGCCGTCTTGGTGATGTACGGCATAGTAAAGGACGAAAACTGGGCATTACAGGACAGGTAAAATACTACACAGGTTAAATTTTTGGACTAGGCTTTGAGAAATGAGCAGGCAAAAATCTCCTAAAACCTCTAATGTATACTTCAGAAGGATTATGATTTATTCACACATAAATACAGTCTGCTATGGGGGCAAGTTGGGAACTCCTTTATGACAGCCAGTTTACGCAAATTGGCCCTTTTCCTCCTTCAGCCGGATGCAGACCTTTTGCAAATACAGGTAGTCGTTGACTTATGACCACAATTGAGCCCAATTTTTTCTGTTGCTAAGCAAGACAAATGTTGGGTGAGTTTTGCCCCATTTTACGACCTTTCTCGCCACAATTCTTAAGCAAATCCCTGCAGTTGTTAAGTTAGTAACCCGGTTGTTAAGCGAATCCGGCTTCCCCATTGACTGCTTGTCAGAAGAGCACAGACAGAAGGGGATCACATGACCCCGGGACATTGCAACCGTCATAAATAGGAGTCAGTTGCCAAGCGTCTGAATTTCAATTATTTGGCCACGGGGCATGCTGCAACGGCCCTAAGTGTGAAAAACAGTCATAAGTCCCTTTTCTGAGCGCTGCTGTAACTTTGAACAGTCACTGTTGAAAATCGAGGACTACCTGTACAGTTATTAGTCTATTAAAATAGTGAAGACAAATCTAACTGTATGCTCTGCTGCTTCTTTTAGGCCTTTGGGGTTGGTGCTTTGGAAGAGGAAGATGAAGATATTTATGCAGTCGAATCCTTTTCCAAATATGACAGTGTTCTGAAAGATGAAGAGCCGGGAGACGGGCTATATGGCTGGACAGCCCCCAGGCCTTATAAAAGTAAGCCAAGTCTAGAAGCCTCTTGAATATTTTGTTATTGGTCTAGCCTTTTCAGGAAGTGCCACCTGATTGGTTTATTTTGAAAGCGCTAACGAATTTGTCTATTATTTTATAGGTAGGGAGAAAGAAAAGAAGTATTTTGGAAAAATTCTGGATGGCTTCTACTTGGCGTCTAAGTCAGCGTCTCCTGCCAAGGTTAGTCAACTTGTTTTTCTGTCTATAATATATCTACCAATACATGTACGGAGACCTCCAAGAATATAAAGTTGATTCTTCAATCTGCTTGTCATTTGAAATGTACTAGATTTTTATAACAGGTGATGGTGACAGTGATTTGTCACTGCCGTTTTATTTTCATTCATTCTACTCCAAAATGAAACAAGGAGAATATCAACTTTCACGGCCCTAACCTGATCTTTGGAATATCGAGGAATTTTTTTCAAATCAAATCTGCCATCGGCCGTGTTTTGCTAATAAAGTCTGCTGTGGCGATCATTTGGCAATGCATAAGATTATGATACTTCTTGTTAAGATTGGCAAAACAGTCAAAATATGACAGCGAATGTGTTGGGGGCAATGGGAGGCAACTGGTGACGTGAGGAGATTGGATTTCAAGCTTGATAGCTACTAGAAATCTGCAACAAATGGTACCAATATTTTAAAAAGAACAGGGAACAATTGGTTTGATATCAGTTATTGGTTTATATTAGTCTTTCCCAACCTGAAAGATTGTTCGGTTGCTGGAAGTGGGTATGTCTAGTTTAACGAAGAGAAGGACGAGGGGGGACATGATAGCAGTGTTCCAGTATCTTAGGGGCTGCCCCAAAGAAGAGGGAGTCAAGCTATTCTCCAAAGTGCCTGAAGGCTGGACAAGAAGCAACAGATGGAAACTTATCAAGGAGAGAAGCAACCTAGAACTAAGGAGAAACTTCCTGACAGTTAGAACAATTAACCAGTGGAACAACCTGCCTCCAGAAGCGGTGAATGCTCCAACACTGGAAGTTTTTAAGAAGAGACTGGACAGCCATTTGTCTGAAATGGTATAGGGTTTCCT